GCACAACAGGAGTCCAAAATCGCCCTAAGAGAGCACCATGTCGGCCCAAGATGGCCCCAAGACACCCTCCGAAGCATTCCAAATCGTGACTGGGGCGTTCAGGGAGACCGCGGTTAGAGGCAGGTTGGCCTTAGGAAGCCCCAGCGGCCCCCAGAACACACCCAGGAGGCCTCCAGAAGGCTTTAAAAAAGCCTGAGAACTTTGGTGAGGCCCCCAGAGGCTCTCCAAGGAGGAGCCTCCGCAAAAAGAGCTGAGGAGGATGGGGAGAATGCCCAGGGTATGGCGAGAATGAGGAAAAATAAGCATGGAGGAATGATAACGAACAACATTATTATAACGGCGATGCCAGAAAAGGCAGCAAGGAGTTATCGCTAAATTGTCGGCTTGACCTTCCTGCCATTTCCGCCTGCATACCAAACTTCAAGGACCAAGGTGCATGGCGCTAAGTGCCACTGCAGTCTTGTATACATATATTGATATGTGTTTATTTATTTATGTTCATCGTTCGAAACGTGCAGGAACATGTTTCGCGCGAAGTCTAAACGCCAGTCGCGTGCTCGTTCCGTTTGGAAATTTGGGCCGTTGTTTTGTTGGGGGTTTAGTTTTCGCGTGGGCATGCGCCACTCGTTTGTTTCGCGTTTTGCTTTGGTGCACGAGCGAAGTATCCATACTTTGTGTAGCACTTGTTTTTGTATCCCACGTTCGTCACAATTTTCTGCGGCGTCGCTCTTTTTCGAGTGTTTTGTTGTCCGGTTTTTTGCGTTGTTGAGATGCCAGATTTTCCTCCAGATCCTGTTCCAGACCCCCCCACAGTCCTTCCCTAAAATCTTCCTTCAGATTTTCATCTACATCTTTCTTCCTCTGGATATTCTCGAGACCTCCGCCCGGCCATTCCCCAGATCGCCCTCTGGATCTTCTAATCTCCCCCAGATTGTAGACTGGCGAATTGCCCAGGGCATTGCCGAGCGCGCCACCGAGCGCGCCAACGCTTGGAACGTTGGACAGGCCCGGGAACTTGTGGCTAGGCGTGGGTTTTTGCTCGCGCGTTGAAGCTCGCGCTTGAATCGTTAGCAGGGGTCCCGATCAAAAGTAAGGGTCGCAATGGGGCTCGCCTCGAGGCCCGTTGGGGTCTCACCTTCTCAAGGCCCAAGGGGGCTCCAAGCGCACGGTGGATCGGGGCGGGGGCGTTCAGCTCATCGTCTGATGGAGACCTCAGGAGTTGCGCGCAGATTCCAGGTGGCGTCATTATCCTCGTTAAGGGCACCTCCTTGCTGGACAGACTCCAGCAGCATGCCCGCCAGCAGATTCGCCAGCTTGTTGGGCAACCTCGCCCTGGAGTTGGCCTTGCCGTCGGGCATGGCGCCGCGTTGGCGCAGGCGCGCCCGTTGGCCAGACAGAGGACGTTGTCTTCGAAAGCGTGGCTGCTGGGCGTGGAAGAGCGCCTCGCATCTCGGGCGGGGTGGGGGGATTTCGAGTCGGCCGCCGAGGCCGTCGACGAAGCGAGGCGCGACTCCTGGGGCGAATGGCAGAAGATGGCGTTGAAGGGGGGTGGGTGGGGGGGGGAGCGGGCCTGGGCCGCGCGCGGGCTTGTCGAGCTTCAACAGAAATGGAGCCGCGCAGTTGTTAAGACCCACCTTGGTTTGTTCTCGGCGAACCCCGAGACTTGCTCGAGGCCGAAAGCGAGGTGCCGCCTAGTCTTTGGCGCGCTGGCAACACCCCCCATTTTCCGCGCCTCTCCAGGAGACATCCGCTGTAGTTCGAGTTTTCCGTCGCTCGCATCGCAGTGCTTGTGCCGATAGCGCCCTCGGCTGTTGTCATTGGTCTCTGACGATGCGCTCGACGCCTTCCGGGCTCTGACCCAGGCTATTGAATCCTTGGGATTGTTGCCGAAACAGCTTGTCTGGATGATGTTTCCCTTTTGGAAAAAAGCTAAGGGCGAGCCGAGACCCACCCTCTCGCGCGCTGGGCCTGTTCGCGTTTGCGGGCGCCTTCGGAGATCCCATCCTTTGTGAGTTCCACGTGGGTGTCCCCCGCCGATTTCGGGCCTGAGGACCTGGGCGTAGCGCTGAGGGCGCCGCGTGACATCGAGCGGTCAGGTCCGGAGATTTTGCCGGCGGCGGAAGGGTCGCCCTGGGGGTCGTTGAGGGCGGCGCGCAGTATTCTGCAAGCGCCCCTCAAGTTACGATTGAATGAGGTCATCGTTAGAACTGCGTGCAACTTTTGAGGGTGGGCCACCCCTGGTCACGGCCGCGCGCGGCGCCACTCCTCATCTTGCCACTGTTGTGCGCCATGTTTAGCGATCTGTTTGTGCGATCCAACATCATGGAGAGCTTCGACCAAGTCGCTGGCCCCCACCCGGGGCCCCATCTCTCCAATCATGTTGACGCTGATGCTGTGACTGCTGAAGGTGATGCGGGACAGGAGGCTCTCTCTGTTTTGTGTGGTGCGCGCGTTTGGACTTTTCGAGATGGGCTCAAGGTTGGGTTCCAGGCTGAAAATCACGCCAGCTTCAGAAGTTCTTTCCCACACCCGCAAGCTGGGGACTTCGTAAGGCAAGATGGCTGGACATGTTACCAACGACGCGGTTAGTCCTCGACTCTGATCTTGGTTTTCTCATGTCGCCCCGTGGAGACGGCGACCCAGGTTTCGGTGCATGCACGATCACCACGGGGTTCGGCAGAGATATCGCAGTCGGTTTCACTGTCAGAAGGGCCGCGTTGACAGGATCTATGCTGCGGGAGTGCCAGGCGGGGCGCGTGTTGCTTGCGTACAGTGCGCATGAGCACAACGTCTCTGACTTCCAAGCTGGCCTCGTCAGGTGATCTTATTCGAGGGCTAGTGCGTCACTGGCTTCGCATTTGGCCTACGCCTTGCGGATCGCTCTCGCTGCGCCTCTTATCATTGTGCATCGTGCCAGGGAGATGTGTAGGATGTGGTGTCAGGTCTGTTCGGCGATGGGGTCTTCTGAAAGAGCTCGCGCGGGTCCATCCAGCTAATGTAGTTGCGCCTTCGCCGAGTCGGTTGGTGCGTAACCTCGGCCCTCGCCTGGCAGGATGACTACGATGGGGGAGTTCGCTCAGGTTTCCGACTCCCCTCCGTGTTGGGGGGCACCTCAGCGTAGTTTCGAACGCGCGATGGCGGCTGAGACGGGCAAGATCCAGGGAGGAAAGCGCGTGTCCCTGGACCCCCTTCAAAGGGTTTTGGGGCTCAAGCCTAAGGCGTGTACCCTTCGAGGACATGCATGGTTCTCGCGCGTTTTTGCGGGGGGGGGGGGGAGCTGGGCGCGCGCCCGCGCGCGCGCGCGCGTCAGGGTTCTGCAGCGACGGCGTGTGCCCTCTGCGGTGTGGGCCCGGCAACCCACGGGATCGGGCGTCGCTGTGCCGACGCGCAGAAGCGCTGAAGGCACGAATCAATGCTGTTGGATACCGAGTTACTGCAGGAGGCCCGTGAAAGGAAAGGCCGCCATTTCTGGGATGGGCCCGGGTGGCGCCACTCTGCAATTTTGCACCCCCCTCCCCTCTCCTCCTGAGGGCCCGTCCCGCCCTCGGCGACGCCTTGAGGGGAAGGATTGAATGGGGTTGATCGACCTCGCGGGATGTGGCGTCTGCGTGGGCGGTTCATGTTGCAGACTTGCAATTCGGGATCTCGGTGGGGGCGTCCTGCTCCCTCCCCCCCGGGCATCTCTCTCGGTCCTGGTGGGGGGATCGTTGCGCGCGCCACAGGAACCATCGGGGGCGTCCTCCCCTGGGCGCCCCGAGCGTCGGAGCACCAGGCGATGGGCCTGCTGGCCCATCTCTGTCGAGTGTACCGGCGCCAGGCTTAGCGTGTGCATGACCGTGGTCAAGCACTGCCAGACGAGTCGCGCTTAAGGAGTTTCTCGGAGCCGCTGTTGTGCTGGCATGCGCAGAGGCAATGCTGCGTGAGAAGCGCGGCCATGCCTTTTAGGTTTCGCATGCCCCTGCGCGTCGCGCGAGAGAAGCTTTTGGTCGGTTGGCCTCGCAGGAGAGAAGGGCTGCCGTAGGGAACTGGGGCGCGGGCGTCAATGCCGAGCGCGCCCTCCCCTCCCTCCCTCGACCTCGCCCGCTTTGACAAAGATGAGGTACGTGGCAAGATCAATCGAATAACTCATGCGGCGAAGGTCATGGCCATTTTTTGCGCGCCTTCCCGTCTGAGAAGTTTTCACTGGGGAGCCCTTGGGGAAGGAAGATATCGATGTTCAAGATGCCTGATCCTGTGGAGGGATTTCGAGACCACACCTCTGATTGGATGTCCTGTTCCTGGCAAGGTGCGGCATAAGGTTTCGATGCCAGCCGGGGTCACGCGTTTGCTCATGCGCGCGTGGCACAGAGGGAGGTGGAGTCGACCATGTATTTTTGCACGATTCGCTGCACTTCTACACAGCGCAATTTTTCTCTGCTTGGCATGGATTGCCCTTTGCGTGGGCTTTCGGGCGCCCCGGCGACCCTGCGTCGCATCTTTGCAGGGCTGCGCCCTCAGTGTCGTGAGCAGGGTGCTCGTTTGGCTCAGTCGTCACGTGGAAGTGCAGCCTAAGTGCAGTGTGCTGCCACTTTGCCGCCGCCTCCCGATGTCAGACAGCCCCCCACGCGGGCTCGGTGCCCCCCCTGAGACGCAGGACATATCAAGGAGCGGGAGGCAACCGCTCGTGGCGCGGCTTCGGCTTTGCCCAGCGGCTAAACTGTTAACAGTCGATTTCGCATTGACGAGATTGTGGATGAGACAAATCCACTCGATCCATTCAAGTAAGGACCCCTAGGTGCAAGCTTTGCTGTGGGAGTTGGGAACAACCCAGACATGGAACTTCCTGGGGCTCCCGAGAACGACGACGATGGTGACCGCGACGACGACGACGACGACGACGACGACGACGACGACGACGACGACGACGACAGCGACAACGATAACCACCACGACCCGCCACGGCGGCGACGGACGACGACGACGACGACGTCGACGACGTCGACATCGGCGCCGGGCAGCAGGCGGGCCGCGCCCAGTCGCCGCCACCGGGCCGCGGCCAGTTTTCGCCCCTGGCCCGCGCCCAATCGTCGCCGCTGTCCGGGGTTCGCCAGGATGGCGCGGGGGGGATGGTGACAGGGGGGGATGGAGAGATGGGCAAAGGGATGAGGAGGAGGAAGAGAAGGAGGAGGAGCAGGAGGAGGAGGAGGCGGAGGAGGAGGAGGAGGAGGAAGAGGAGGAGGAGGAGGAGGAGCGGGGGGAGGAGGAGGAGGAGGAGGAGGAGGAGGAGGAGGAGGAGGAGGAGGAGGAGGAGGAGGAGGAGGAGGAGGAGGAAGGCGTTGGGGCCCGGAGGTCCCCCGAGGCCACGTCGAGCGCGGCCACACTCACCATACTGAAACTGCCTCTCCCATGCATCCTCTTTTTTGATCCCCCACATCTAGTTGCTGAGAGCCCAAACAGACCCGTCCCCATCTGCGCGACGCTGGGGCGAGGTGCACCACGCGTGCCAGGCGCTTTACGCGCGCCAGGTGCGCTAAGTATCCCTGGGTTCAAGCGTGCCTGGCACGCCTGGCGCGCCAGATGCGCCACGTGCTCCACGTCCGCCATGTGTGCCGCATGCCCCAGCCGCGCCAGGTTTGCCACGCTCGGGGCACGCGCAGAGTGTGCCAGGTGCGCCCGCGCACGTGACAGCACACATCGACATCGGGAAACATGTCGGCTTCACCATTCTTGTCGAAAACCAATGCGCAATCGCGGCGCGGATGCTATCACATTGTTTGGTTGGCCTGCGCACAGCAGGCACTATGCCAGCACCCCGGCCGTCCTTGTCAAAAACCAATGAACAGTGATCGCGGGGTGGCCGCGCATGGTCCAGATTTAGCCGCGAAGTGTATTTTGTATTGCTTTTTGACAGTGGTGGTGGCCCTGCGCGTGGTAGGCAATGAGGGCACCCCCGCCGTCCCCGTCAAACAACAATACAAAGTGCTCGCGGTGCGAGCATGACCCAAGATTTTGCCCCAACATGTGCTCCGTGCTGTTTCTCCGACAGGGATGGTGGTTGGGGTGTTGTCATTGGTTCGGGTTGGCTGCTGGTCGTTTGAGGAGGGCGTGTTTATCAATAGGGAACAGTGATCAAGCCCCCCGCCCCGAAAGACGACCGTCTCGCTCAATCCATTTCGCACTCACACCACATGAGTAGCACCCGAGTCTCAGCATAGGCAGGGGCCGCCATCGATAACCATCTGGGGCCAATGCAGACATCAGCCATGTGCGCGACGCCCGCGAGGTGCGCCGCGCGTGCCAGGACACCACCATCATCCTTCATCCCTTGCAACAGTAATGACAGGCGGTCGCGGGGCGCCCTCGAATGGTCCACGACTTTGTCGCAACGTGCGCATTGCGACATGTTTCCCGTTGGCAGGGATGGTGGGCCTGTACGCGCCAGGCAAGATGATGCCCCTACGTCGTCCCTGTCAGGAAAACAATGTAATGTGATCGGTGGGCGCCCGAACATAGCCATGGGCGCCCACCTCTGCAGAACAACCCGCCCTTTCGACCGCGATCACGACTTGCCACTCCTACCTCCATCAGCCCCATCACCCGCATCCCCAACACAACCACGATATCCAGAACCGCGTTTCCGACTCTACCACGGCGTGGCTCTCATTTCCGACGGTTATTACAGGCTCCTTCACGCCCACCGCGACACGAACAGCATTTCGGGGCCCCGCTCCAGCGGTCGACACTGGCACCGACTCCAACTCCGACTCAACTTCCGACGCCTGCTTTGGCTTCATCCCAATCCCGACTCCAACCCAACATCCGGCTACGACGACGCCTCTGACTCCTGGTCCGTCTCCGACCCGACTCCAGAATTCAATGCAAGCCCCAGGCGCGGGTCGTTGCGCAGTTGGGCTCCTGGACATACCCGTGCCACGGTACCCGTCTCCAGGCGCCTTTCGGCCTCCACCTACCCTTGGGACGGCTACCTGCACTTCTACTACATCTACGTGTACTTCCACCTGTTCTACTACTCGTGAGTCCCCGCGTGTCTTCTCCCACTTCTGCTCCCCCCCGCCTAGGTGTGATAGGGATTTGTTTCCTATCGTATGCCCTAATTTGCAACTTACTGCTGCCTTCGCTCTGCCGCCTTGTCCCCTTTCCTCCTGCCCCTCCTCCTTTCCCTGTGCGTGCCGTATATTTTTCCGTACTTAGCTGGTTGCTCTTGGCAGCCCTCCAGCGCGCCACGGCTTTGCGGCTCCGTCTCCTCGCAGATGTTGGAGTTTGGTCGGCTTTGTCGCTGTAGGGTAATCCGCAGCAGCCGCCGCAGGCCGTAACTCGGGGCGGAAATTCGTGCAGTTATGCACTGACGCTAAGACCGACGCCTTGGTCGCATCGTATATCACCCAGTATCGAGCGTGGCCGAGACGATTTGCTGTCCGCTGGGTTGTTCTAGCCGGACGTTGGGGTCCTCCTCACGGGCCGGGCACGGTGAGGTTGCCATTGGTCCACTGAGTGGTCGGCGTCCACTTGGCTGTGGGGGAGTGTATATATATATATATATATATATATGGGAGTAGGGCCCGGGGGCGGCCCGGGGCGGTGCCTGTAATCTCCATGGGGGGTGCAGGGCGCCCCCGGGAGCGTCCGAAGCGTCCCGGAGGGCGCCTGGGACCGCCAGGAACAGTTCGAGACCGCCCAAGACGGCCCGCGAGCGCTCCAAGACGCGCATAGAAAGGCCCGAAGACGTTCCAAGAGAGCTCCATGAGGCCCCGAAGGCATCCCAAGAGGCCTCCCAAGAGAGCCCCGACAAGCCAAAATCGTTGATTTTAATTTTTTTTCTATGTTTTTGGCCTTCTCGCTTTCTCAGGGTTCCGACGCTCCAAGACCGTCCAAGAGTCTCCCAAAACCGCTCCAAGACGGCCGAAGAGGCCCCCAAGACCGCCCCAAGACGGCCCAAGAGACCCCCAAAATCGTCCCAAGACGGCCCAGGAGAGCCCCAAGATGGCCCAGGAGCCGCCCAAGACGGTTCCAGAAGAACCCCGACACGGCTTCAAGACTGCCTAAGCGAGCCCAGCGGTCCCCAAGAGGGCCCCGCGAGGCCCCAAGAGGCCCCAAAGAGGCCCCCAAGAGCTTCCCCGGAGGCCCCCAGGGGCCCCCAAGATGCCCAAAAATGGCCCTGAGCGCGCCCCAAGACGCCTCCAGGAGAGCCCAACAGGCCTCCGAGAGGCCCCCAAGAGTCCCACTGGATGCCCTCAGGAGGTCGTCCCCATCATGTTCCCGGAAGGCGGTCCGGGAACATGATTCCGCGCCTTCGAGGAGTATTCTGCGCCTTCCGAGGCGCCTTGGACGACGTACGTCTGTTTCTATAGATTGTCCTTCTCCTGTGTAAGCAATCCTACATGCTTTACGTATGTTTCTATCTATATATATATATATATATATGTATGTATGTATTTATGTATATATATATATATATATATATATATATTTATGGGGAGGGGGTCCTGGACCAGGGGGGGGCCTCACTTTGCCCAGTGGCTGTGGTCACCCCCCCGCCGGAGACGCCAGGACGCTCCCAGGACCCTCTAAAATGGCTCCAGGACGCCCTCAGGACAGCCCAAGAGAGGTCCGAAGCGGCCCGGGAGCACTCCAAGACGGTTAAAAAGCTGCCAAAGCGTCCCAGCAGGTCTCCGACAGCACTCCCGGGAGGGGCCCAATAGGAAATTGTCACTGATTTTTAGTGGGTTTTGAAGGGTTTGGGCGTTCTCCCCAGTTCGGCTTCCAGACGCTCCAAGGCGGCCCAAGAGGCCCGAAAGATCGCCTCAAGACGAGCCCAGAGGCCCCCAAGAGACCACCGAGACAGCCCAAGAGGGCCCCAAGACGGCCCAGGAAGCTTCCAAGACGGCCCAAAAGAGCTCCCAGAACATTCCAAGAGGAGCCCCAGCTGGGGAACACGAACTGACATTTCGAGCCCTCGCCCACCAGAAGCTCCCAAGAGGCCCCCAGGAGTCCGCAAGAGGCCTCGAGAGGTCCCCAGGAAGCTCCAAGAGGCCTCCAAAAGGCGCCGAAAGGGCCCCGCAATGCTTCCAGACGCTGGTGATAATGACAATCATAATTATGCAGGGCGGCCTCAGGCCCACAACCTAAATCCCCAATACTGCTCACGCGGCATGCAATACGCTGCGGATATATTCTCGAGTTCGGCGGGGGAGCTTCGGAGACGACGGTGACGAACATGATGACGATGATGACGACTATTATGAAGTTGACGACGACGACGATGACGATGATGATGATGATGATGATGATGATGATGATGAGGAGGAGGAGGAGGAGGAGGAGGAGGAGGAATAAGATTATGATGATGATGTTGACAGTGGGAATGATGATGATGATGCTGATGATGATGATGATGATGATGATGATGATGATGGTGATCGTGATGTGAGTGATGGTGGTGATGATGATGGTGGTGATGCTGACGATCATGATGACGATGACGGTGATGCCGTTGAGGATGGTGATGCTGACGATCATTATGATGATGCTGCTGATGGTCAGGATGATAACGCCGATGCTGATAATAATGGTGGCGATGCTGTTTATGGTGCTTGTTATGCAGGAGTGGGCGGATGATGAAGATGATGACGATGATGATGACGATAATGATGACGACGATCACGACGACGACGACGATTATGATGACGATGGCGATGATGAGGATAATTATGTTGATAATTCAGGTGACGATATTGACGATGATGACGACGATGGCGATGATGACGATGGTGATGACGATGTTGCTGCTGATGGTGGTGATGGTGACGATTGTGATGATGGTGATGGTCATGGTGATGATGACGATGCCGTTGACGATGACGCCGGATATGATGGTGATGAGGATGGCGATGATGACGATGACGATTATCCTAGCTAGAACTTGAGCGCGCGCGAAGCGCGCGCGATGGTTCTAGTATATATATATATATTACAGCCAAGTGCAAGTTATATTGTTTCTGGTGATTAGAGTGGAGTGTCTGGCGTGTTCGCATTATTAGGAGGGGTTGCAGATTCATCTGGAGGTGTGATGCACCCCCCCGAAGGGGAACGT